GGCGACCGCGATAATTAGTAGTTAGCATTGCCCACTGCCATTTGGAAAAGTCCGGTTCAAATCCTCGTACGAGCAACATCCATAAGTTATGGAAAATTAAATTAAATAAAAAATGAAGTTAGATTTTTTAACTGCGGTCGTCCTTCGACAGCGAATGACAACCCCTCCCAGTTTATTTCTAACATGAAATAAAGGCTCCTCATAAAGAACCATCGGCTGTTTGAAGATGACTTAGTAAAAATTGTATGACCCTCCATGCGCAGGAAAAATATTCAGACGCAAATCCACAAATTGAAGAAGGAGCTCGGCCGAAAATGTCTTCAGCGATTACAAAATGTCAATTATATGAGGGCGGCAAAACTTAAAAAGCCTACATCCGGCACATCTGTAAATCCGCGACTGTATACAAATATTCGATATATTAGATTATACATTTAGTCGTATATAAGTATATAATATTTTTTATTATATTTTTGAAATCAAAATACTGCTTGCACAATCAGATTTTAGTTCTTTTGTTTTTTGCTCTGGGACTTACAATGTAATACCTGTTTTCAATAAGTATCAAATATACATAATTACATTATTGCTTAACGGCATAGTTGCAGTGATTTAACAAATAAATCAAATCATAATCATAACAAGTCGCACAGTGTCTCAAAAACAACAAACAATTTGTAATTTAATTTTTGAATATTATTTTTTTTTAATACCAAATGAAGAAATACATACGAAGGATAAAAGGGACTTTGACCACCTTTCCGTGATGAGCAAAGCAAACAAAGTCGGGCAATTTAGGCGTTCGAGGTTACAAAAACTCGCATCCAACTGAAAATTGGTAGGAATGCCCAAAATACAATCACAAATGAAAGCTAAAGAGATACACATCCTCCTCAATTGTAAGGATATGAGTTATGCCAATTTATGTACATAAAAAAATTAAAAAACAGAATTTATTACAAATTTTAAAATATTTTAATTTGATTCCAGAATATTTGTTTACAAAACCTTCAGAAGATGATATCGTGCAAGTGGCAGCCCAATGTGCCGAATTTTCGTACGAATTTGCCAATGTTTCAGCCGATATGACGACTATTTCTCGACAGAGGTTGGCTCGTCTTGAGTCCTTGTAGATATAAACCTTCGACTTCAAATAGCATCAGTGAAAAAAGTGCAGCGGTGCAAATCTGGTGAACGCGTCCAGTGAAGAATGATTGCAGCTGTAGTGTGAGGAGGTGCGGCGTTTCCTCTCTACCATAAGTTTTCCATAATGAATTATGCGCCGCAGAGTCCCTAAGTGCCCACGTCGACGTGAACCCGATGTTCGAGATGATGCAAACACTTTTTTATGTTCTTTAACGGTACACTTTTCAATTTACTTAATTTTTTCCGCGCACGCTGAGTTTGAGCAATTGAAATTATTCCTCTTCTTCTGCGTTCATTCATTCCAACGACCTGACTTAGATGGGTTTAGAAGCCATCAGTTTAAGTCCTCGGGTTCAAGTGCTGGTGTCGTACTAACGTCCAAAAAGTTAAAGAAATTTAATTTAAATAAAACACTAAGGTAAATTTTCTAATTGCAGTCGCCCCTCGACAGGGAATGTCAACCCTTTCGAGTATATTTCTCACAGGAAATAAAGCTCCTCATTAAAAAACCATCATCCGATCGGAGGCGGCCGAGTATAAACTCCCACTTCAGCGGCTACGAAACGCCAATTATATATTTATAAACATAACAGGTCTCCAAGCCAGCACTGACGACCAGGAATATTTTATTGTTTGTTTGGTGAGATTTCAAGGAATCATCGACTATGAGCTGTTCCACTACATCCAACTCATTTCAGTTCGGAACTGTACTGTCAGCAATTGGACCGTCTGAAGGAAGCTATCACCCGAAAGACAAAACGAGCGAAATTCCATTTCTTCAGGATAGTGACTCGCCAGCAGCTACGAGAGCTGATGAAGAATTGGCCTCTAGAGAAGTCTGTGAAAATCGATTGTGCCAATTTTTTTGCCAATTAAGACAAGGGTTTGCCTGAGAGAGATAAAATGACATTACCGTTAGAACGGCAAAGGGTTAACGAGCAAAACGGCGCACATTTTGGACAGCGGATCCATCTAAATATGGTAAATAAAGTCTTCAATTTAATACAAAAAATAATGGATTACTTTTTACTAGACCAAATGCATATTTATGTAATTAAAATTTGTGTGCGGTGTGATAGATGAATCCACGTATTGCCTAAACCGCTAATCGTAAAGACCTGAAACTTTTAGAGGGTGCCTACTGAGTTTGACAAAGGCATCCAGTAAGGAAAGGAAAGGGAGCCGAAATTCGTCCTTTAGTAGATGAAGAAAGGGGAACCCGGCATATTGTTCCATACAAATTTTCCGTACAGGAAATCTGTGATAAAAATGAATAGGAATTTGAAATAAATTAAAAGAAAGGGAAATTCATATAAGTAAGTACGAATGTACTCAGAAGCAGGCCTACGCACACGCAATTAAGTCCACTGTGCAAAGCAAGCAAACAAACCAGTTGCCAGCATTGAACTTCGCCTGCAATCCAATATGCTAAAAACATGTTGCAGTCTTATGCCCCTCGGTTCTAATTTACCTTCCGCGTCGACTGCATTTATTATGCTAAATCGTCCATGTGATTACAAGCCGCATTTGGATGTAAGAATGCAATGTGTGAGCGAATAATGCAAAATGTAAACAAAATGTAATTAAAAAAATTAAATGAGAGCTAAGCCGAGCCATAACTAATGCGACGCTGTCTTTCTATAAAAGCGCCAACAGGCTGGAGCAGTGTCATCAAAGTCTTTCTTTTCGTGTTCAACGCAAGTACAACGCAACGGTAAACGGCGCCAAAATGTTCAACTTCTACAAATTGGTAAGGATAATCACTCGAGTACAATGCAAGGACTGGATTTATTATTTCTTTTGTTACACAGTTTGTGGTGCTCGCTGCCCTGTTGGGTCTCACTGTCGCACGTCCAAGCCTGCTGACGCATCCCGTACTCCTGCCATCCGCCATCTCGCATCAGAGTATCACTCAAATTCATGCCCATCGCCCAGTGCTGGTCGCCACGCCGATCATCACGGCGGTGCATCCAATCGTGACGCATCCCATCGTCCATACGGATCATATTCTTCTTCATTAAAGTACTGTGCAATATACTGAACGTCATTTTGAATTTGGAACTGGATCTTTTCTCGGTAGTGAACACTCAGCACTGGGCACTGACACTTAGCTACACACATTTATAGACAAGGACAATTGCACTTTCATTGCAGCATACAAATATAAATTCATAGAAGTGCATACATAAGTAGATACGAGTATGTAGTACACATTCATGTTTGGTATTTGAAATATTGCAAAGTGTTCTCCTTTACCCCAGCGCTCGTTGCGTTGCAGTGCGTTGGTAGTTTTTCATATTTTTTTTTTTAGTTTATTTGATTATTACATAACATTTTCAAATGCCGGAAAGTCATACATAAATAATTATAATGTAAACCTCTAAAAAACAATTTCAATAAAATCCTAAGCAATGATTAAATTTGAATAGTATTCAATTCATTTTCATATTCTGTAGAGAATTTTAAAATAGAAAAATATAAAGCTGCTAATGTGGTAATATAGCAAGCTTGGCAAACAAAATTTTAAAATCGTAATTATCTAAAAAATGACGCCGCAATGTGAGCTATGAATCCACCATGCAATAATAATGAACGCTTGGTATGCCTAAAAGTATGCCTTTGAAGGCTCGAAATAGTCACTCAATGCATTTGAATGTGTACAAAAGCATGCATGTATTGTATATATGCGTAATTGCTCTAAACTGAACTGATTGAAATATTTAATCATAAATGCATAAATAATAAGTGAAATGAATGAGTTCGTGGTGCATAGCAAAGGAATGTGCTATAAAAGGGATTATAGGTTAGCTTGGGTTGTGCTGGCTACTGATCAATCACATCGATTATTACCATATAATCGGCGCTTTGTAACCGCCGAAGCAATTTTCGGCCGAGCTCCTCCTCCAATTTGTGGCTTCGTGTCTTGTTGTTTTTCCAATAAATGAAGGGGCTTATATATAAGTACTAAGCCGCCTCCGAATGACTGACGGTATTTTATGAGAAGCCCTGTCGAAGGGCGACCGCAATTAGAAAATTTAAATTGTTTTTTTTTTTTTTTTTTTAAATAAATTTTCTTTAATTTTTTTTTTGGATTTTAGGACGACATCAGGATTTGAATCCGACTCGATTATTTTTAGACCTGAACAATATCCATTGGACTTTTATGAACACTTGGCCATTAGGTTAATGACCCCGACATCGGTCATCCAACAGTAGGGTGCTGAAATTCCGAAACCTTGCACTGCCCAAAAGCACGACAGTGACACAGTTATTAGTTTTTTCATCATCATCATCACTTCAGCTATTCAGCACCTTTTAAAGGAAGTCTCTATACACTCTCTCCTATAACTAACTTCAACTGATCCTATCAACGGAATGGAGGTTTTCCTCTTCTTATATCATCGAACAATTACGAAATTGCATCCATCCGGTCCAGGTTGTTGGCGAGCGTGGTATCTTTAATCCCTGAACTATGTGTCAAACTTCGTATATTATCTTCATCGCTATTTTATCTCCGATATTCGCCGCAGTCTATACGCAGAGTACCCTAAATCTTCTGCACCACTTTTTTCTCAAAGCCTACTAATGCCACCATGCCTTAAAGGAAATTCGCAGCAGTTAACATGGGACGACCACAATGAGAAAAATTAGTGTATATTTTTCTTTATTATTTTTCTATAATTTTGAATGTCAATCTGGTCAGTCTTCGAACCCATCATCAACCGCTTAATTTTACTCACAAAATAAGATTGCCAACTCCGCTCCATTAATCATAGGAATTTTAAAAATTAAGAAATAAAAAGTAATGCAAATATACTTTTAGGAAATATTCAATTTATTGTTATTCGTTTCTATATAACAGTTAAAGTCCTCAAACCACAAACTCAATGCTCCTAATGATGATGTAAGGAGTAAGCCAATGGAGCAGATACAATGGTCTTGTGTAGAACTGGAGCGGCATGTACGACAGGCACGGAGTGCACCACTGGAACACTGTGTACAAGGGGAGCAGAGTGAACAACCGGAGCGGCATGCACTACAGGCACAACGGGTGCAGAGTGGATGGTGGTCTTGACAGCGTGGGCAAGAACTGGTTCCACCACAGATTTGCTATGGACCTGAGTGATGCTCTGATGTGATACGGCAGAGGGCGCACTGTGCACTACCGAACCAACTTTGGCCAATACGGGCTCATGCACAACATGATGGGTCTCAATCAAACCAGCGCTGACGGCAGCAGCGGCGAACACACAAACGAGGGCGAACTGTGAGAAAATAAGATCCTTTAAAAATTCTGATAACCAATATTTATGCAATATATTTTTTCTTACGTATTTGAACATTTTGAACTTTTTGTTGGTTGCTTTGTTGGATCTTGGGAAGATGGTTGATAACTGATGTTGGATGCTGCGCACCAAATGCCTTTTATACAAAAATCACACGCCATAAAATACGCAAAATAAATGGAGTAAGGTACAAACAACATGAAGTTGCTATAGTTGAGATTGTGTGTGTGTGTGTGTGTGCGTTAAGGTTCTCAAAAAAGCACCGTGACTATGCATTCCTCAAAGCCGGTAACCCATGTCATGCAAGCCGAGCATTCTCTTCAGCTGTTGGTTGATCAGTCAGCGACTGCGCCGACGTCTTGTTTGTGTGTATTTTTTATTTATTTTTGTATTTTATATTAGCTGAGACCAGCTCACCTGAAAGCATGGCCAAAATTGAGATTTTTTATCTCAGCAACGAAACTGAATTCGCTTTTGTTTTGATTATGTGCTTTATCAATTACATTTGAACTGTTTAAACCACGGAGGAGCAACTATATTACTTGCGCCACTTCTTCCGATGAGCTGCATTGTATAAAAGCGCCACAGATGTGCACTTTCGGCATCAGAAGCATTTCAGTATTTTACAAGCCAACAACTTCCCACAAAAACATATTCAAAAATGTTCAAATACGTAAGAAAAAATATATTTAAATATTGGTAATCAGTATTTTTAAAGGATCTTATTTTCTTATAGTTCGCCCTCGTTTGTGTGTTCGCCGCTGCTGCCGTCAACGCTGGTTTGATTGAGACCCATCATGTTGTGCATGAGCCCGTTTTGGCCAAAGTTGGTTCGGTAGTGCACAGTGCGCCCTCTGCCGTATCCCATCAGAGCATCACTCAGGTCCATAGCAAATCTGTGGTGGAGCCAGTTCTTGCCCACGCTGTCAAGACCACCATCCACTCTGCACCCGTTGTGCCTGTAGTGCATGCCGCTCCGGTTGTTCACTCTGCTCCGCTTGTACACAGTGTTCCAGTGGTGCACTCCGTTCCTGTCGTACATGCCGCTCCAGTTCTACACAAGACCATTGTATCTGCTCCATTGGCTTACTCTCTACATCACTAAATAAATCTTTTACCTTTGGGAAACAAATCGCTATATTTTTATGAAAACGAAAATAAAAACTGAGTTGTGATATAAATATAAATATTTTTCGTTTTATTCTTAGCTTACTGTCAATTTTCAGATTCTTTAAATGAACTCGTTTGGACCACAGCTCTTAAGTTATGTTCTAATCATAGTAGTTTTGAAAGATATTTTGGAGCGGGGAGTATGGTGAAAGATGTGATATCTGAAGACCGGAAGGCCGGACACTTCCAAAGGCTCGTGATATTCTGTGCAAGTTTTGGTTGCAAGCGAATCCACTTTACCTAACTTATGGAGATGATATCACTGGGGTGGATGCCTCATTCGTACACCCATAATAATGCCAAGTTATCTTTGGCTTAATGCTAGTAAGCGTATGGTCTGACTTCTCTCCACGCTGCCCAATAATAATAAGTTGCGTTGGGGCAGTTGCAAGATCTTAAGAATTCCTCTATGGTTTATTTATATAGTTATTTTTTTCAAGCAACATTTGAAGTCGCTGAAAGGTCTGCGCAGCCAATGATGACAGATTTACCAGCGACCTCTGCGCTAGCTGGATGATCCACCTTTTCATTGCTTTCTACATCCGTGCGACCTGATATCGAAGTAATATTCACTGTGTTTTCATGCGATTGTTTATTATTTGTTCCAACTCATTTGGACTTTGTGTTGACGGTCTTATATATGTATATAATTGGGGCTTCGTGACCGCTGAAACGATTTTCGGCCGAGCTCCTCCTCCAATTTGTGGTTTTGTGTCTTGATATTTTTCCAAACAAATGGAGGGACATACAGTTTATACTAAGCCGCCTCCGAACGGCTGATGGTTTTTTTATAAGGAGCTTAATTTCATATCAGAAATACACTCGGAGGGGTTGAAATTCCCTGCCGAGGCGCGACCGCAATTATAAAATTTTACTTAATTTTGTATTTATATTAATTTTGTAGAACTTTTTGGATGTGAGAGCGAGTTTCGAATTCTAAACAACATTTTAAAGGATCTACGATCTACGTGTTAACGGTTCAGAATAATATATTTAAATCAACGAGTTCTCTACTGTCACTGGGGTTAAAATTTTTAATGATTTCTGTGAGACCAACTTCATTATGTCCTATCCAGTGCAAAGTCAATTACGAAAACGGACTAGACGCGATGGCATATCCATCTGGTTACAGTTATTTATCAACTTAAATAGTTTACAATATCTCTCTATTATATAAATATTTCGTGATGCTGTTGCCGCCATGCAATCTTTTATTATGTTCTACGCTAAAGGATTTTCAATACTGTGAGTAGGGACGTAATGAATAGAAAATAATACAGAGATGAGGATAAGGTACTGCAATAATTTTGTAGGTGATGAAGAAGGGTTATATGATTCCAATACGAATTCTGAAGTGAAACATCAATCACATCATTAATGAAATTTCCCATCTAGTGTGGAAGCATCAGTACCAACTCCCATATAAAGACTGATGAACTTTCCATATAAATGGTCTGACTTCAACATTGATTTACTTTGCACGTTCATCGATTAAATTTGCATAAAATATTACTGAACGGAGACAGTAAATAAAAGCACATGCCAGTGAGAGAACTTTTCGAACGAAGGAATGTTCACTTCCTTAGTGAATTCCTTAGTGAAATATATTGGAATAGGTATTGCCGATACCTTAATGAAATATTGTTGTACAATACCATCCGCTGTAAATTAAAATTAAAAATCATAAAAAATTTATTTAATTCAATGTGCATATATTTACCATGCTTATAAAGTAATATATTGGATTGCCCCATAAGAAACCGGCGATTTTTCATGCAGACGGCGTTGGTAATTTTTTGAACAGCTTTTGACTATTTAATTTTAATTCTTCATTTGACAATTATAAGCTGTCATTTTTCGCTTGCTTTAGAAAAAAAGTGCACTTAATTTTGTTCACTTTTTGTTTGCTTGGCCTCAATTTAAATGTGGAGCCGACAAAAGAACACTTTAGCCATATTTAACTTTATTATTTCCTTGAAGGAAAAAAATTAAGCGCAGATTACCTAAAAGTTGCATAATTTGTATGGTGTTAAGGTCCTGAAAGAAACACAGTGTCCAAGTTGGTATCTCAAATTCTGTTCGGGAGATTTTTCACTCAAAGTTAAGCCACGTTCAGGTCGGCCAAGTGATGTTGATGATGACGATATCAAGGCTTTAATCGAATAGGATCGCCATGTAACTGAGCGTGAGATTGAAGAGAAGGTAAGTATAACAAAATCAGACGTTCATAAGACGTCTGGGACTGGTAAGAAAAGCTTAATATTTGGCTACCACATGAAACGGGGATGTTGACCGTAAATGATGAAAAATGGTCAAAAAATTGTAATTTTTTCTTTTTTGGTGCCAAACTTTATTTTCTTAGATAAATTTGTTTTGCAATTTTTTTTTCTTTTTTTGTTGTTGTCTACTCAATACCAACAACTTTGCTTCAGTAACTCAAATAATATTTCGTATGGCTTACGAGATATGGTCTAATCAAAATATTAAGAAAATGCCAAAAATCCAAGGTAAGGCGCCCAAATTCTTAAATGAGCTAAGAATGAGCAAAACGAATGATGCAGAAATTCAAGATTCGACATCTATATTGAACTTGTGTTCACTAAAGTCTGGTCGGAAATTTAAAGTTGCATAGTGAAAAGTAAGTTAGAGGCACTGAAAGATGACGAAATTGTATTCAGTGATGAGCATCTGCTGAATTCTAAGTAAATACTCAACAGAGCTCATGCAATGCTTCTGTTTTCTTCGAGTATCCAACAGAGAGAGATGCTAAAAGATGGCGAACTTGTATTGAATATTGACAATTTAGTGAATTATTAGCAAAGAATCAACAGTGATCCTTCAGCGCGGGGACTGGCATATATGATATATATATATTCTTCAAACCATCAGCTATACATACTCACACATAAGATCATGAATCATAAACTATCAATCAATTTTGCGTTTCAATCACGCAAAACCATAAAATGAACATAACGAATCAAGCGGAAGTAGATAAACGGAAATCAAACTTAAAGTTTATAATGGAAATAATCAATTTTATATTTATCTAATAAATGACAATGAGAAAAAAAATACATTTTTTATCACTAAGCAATGTAGTAACTGCTTAATGTACTCTTTCAACGCCAACGACCAACAGGTTTTAGTTGTTTATATGAACAACTATGAAAACCTTGGGGGACATTAGGAGACTTAATGCAATTGAAGATAGAAACCAGCAATCAGACAAAAGCTATTTTCTATAATAATTTTTAAATTTTAACAATTATATTCGTACATGAAATACTAAATCAACGCATACATACACGTATATACTTGTAGGAGTGAACTCATGTACATACGTTTATGTCTGTGTGCGTAAGTGTGGTTATTACTATAGCAACACCCAAAAAATGAGCCAGCAATTTTTCATACTCCATCAAGTAATCACACGGCTGTTATATTAATGAGATAAATTTTTTTTTTATTTTTTTCGTAGAAGCCCTAAGTGGTTAGCCCTTCAAAAGGTTATGTTATCATCGAAAAAAAACAAAAGAAAAAACAATGAACAAAAAACAATAAACGACAAATAAAAAATAATAAAAATAAATGTTGTCGACTTAATTCTATAACACCAAGCGCCATTGTATGTAAACAACTTATACAATAAAACAATTTGTTGTTGTTTGCATGAATATACAAGAAAAAGTAATCTTTAGGTACCAATGCTGTCCCTAGTTGGATCTCACCAGCAATTTCAAGTCTTCTGGAGCAGCTCAAATAAAACCAACTAGAACAAGAACCGGTTATATCTATTTGCAAACTAGACCAGGAATCCAGTTTTTTCAAAAAATTGGAGAACGATAAGCATTACTTACATATAAAACTCCAGACCAGATACTTAAGGACTAGCAGATAAATTCAAATGCCGAATTCCGCTTCTCTA